ACATGAGGCTACAAATGGTGCCTCTCAGATAGTTCTTAACGGTTTTTGCAGTGCTCTGAGTAAGAACATATCATTGAATGGTGGCTGATTTAGGAAACTTTTTTGTAGTTTGCAGTCTGCAACTCTGCATAGCATTGCTCAACATTCTCTAACTTGGTCTCAATTTTTTTATATTCTCATGAAGGATTTTAATTGCATTGCTTACCCAAGCAAGATGGAACGCCAGTGAATTCCAGGCTTTGTATATTATACTCATTTGATGCATATACAGTTGTTTTAATCCAAATTGTCCGTGGTCAGACTGAGCAGTTTTTTTGTCCAAGCACAATGGGCATCATTTCGGTTATAATGAAACAGAGTGAAGATTGTGCAATGTTCATTTTCTAAATGGGATTTTGTTAACAGTTAACTTTTCTTATTCTATTTTTTTCACTGCTGTTGATGTAGGAACTAAATTATTGATATTATTATTAAATATGTTGTGAATTTTAGCAAGAAAAGGTTTATGAATTGGTAAATGTTAAGAAAGGAACACTTGTGTAGAGTTTTAGCGAGAACTAAATGGGAGAAATTCCAGAATTCAGGTATTGATGTATTGCAATGGCATTAATGGTTTGTTTAACAATATTCCAGGTTTTGCGCACGAAGAACGTGGAGAATTCCATGAAGCATTGACTTCACATATCAATGCTGGTCTGCTAGATCCACATTTTGTACCATCCAAGGTACAGATTGGTGCATTGCTGGCCAAGATGGGGTCTGTTGCATTGCCTGTCGCAAGAACTGTACTCTCAGATGCATTGAGGATCGAACCTACCAACCGTAAAGCTTGGTACCACTTAGGTATGGTACATAAGGATGATGGTCGGCTTGCAGAAGCCGTAGATTGCCTCCAGGCAGCATCTATGCTTGAAGAGTCGGATCCTGTTGAAAACTTCAGGTCTATCCTTTGATTGGCCTCCATACTTTTCAGGTACTGGAATCTAATATATTCTTATTTTCTCTAATATTTGTTGTAAAATCTGTAACTGGAATGCTGGTTTCCCCTACATCTGTTCATGAGCAGCCTTGGCCAGACCATGACTCATACAGGGATGGCGCTTTTCCTGTTTCTTTAATTAATGTCATTGGTGTCACAAAAGGGGAGATCAAGCCAAAAGGAAATGGAATTTGAAAGGAAAAAAAGAAGGGGAAAAAATATAGCAGATGCTTGGGGTTAAAAAGTTGTAGGAAATGTAGTAAGGGGAGTTCACAAATGCCTCCTTTAATGGTGTTTTGCTTAGCATGCTTGATGACTATATTATATATATATACATATACATACAGACATAGTAAGGGGAAATATTGATTGTTCCATTTATCCATACTTTTTTTTGTTATCTATATTTGGTTGCTGTCTTGCTTGACGGTAAAATTGTATCGTCTTCCCCTTGAAATAAATTCCATTTATTTTATGAACATGAGTGTGATTATTTTCTGGCCAACAAAAATACCATCTATATTTGTTATATATATATATTGCTTCAAACTGTATCAGTTTAATCATTTTAGTCCAACTTTATTTTGGTGGGTAAGTCTCTTAGCAGAAATTTTTTGTATGCACAAGGACTCGAACTCGAGATATTGTTTAAGCGATATCAAATTGTTTACCACCGGAATCAACCCTTGTTGGTAGTTTCTTTTGAACTCAAACTTTTATTTTCTTAATTAAATTTTCCTCAGTATGACAGTAACAATAATGCATACTTAAGCTGACATTAACTCTTGTCCTTTTTTTCCTATGTCATCAAAAAACTCGAAGGAAATTATAAATAAAAAAAATTGATGTATCAGTAGAGACAAAAAGAAAAAGGCCTCAAAAAAAAAAAAATTTGCTATGTCATCAAAAAATTCATAGGAAATTAAAAAAAATAAAAGTTTAAGAGCCAAAAAGAAAAAACCCTCATTTTTTAATAGGTAATACATCATACTAAACTTGATGTATCAGTAGATGAGGATGTCTGATCAATCAACAATAACCTTTTTTTTTTGTGAATCAATAATCAGCCTTGTTGATTTGAAAATCTGGTATTATTCAAAGTGAAAATTGTAGGAAGTATTCTCATGCCGGAGCAGCCAAATCTGTCTCCTCGTTAGTTGAATCCCTCAATCGATCAGCAGCTTTTTCTACCTAAAAACACACACCATTTGTTAAACACATTTCAAGTATATGATTTGACTTGTTCTTGTTTAATGCAAAGTTCAATACCTCCTTGTTCCAATTGGTTCTGGCAGTAAGAATAATAAGAGTTGTTGTTTGCAGAAGGACTCCAATGATCATCCCCCACCAAATTCCCTGAACAGTTTCAGATTTGTACACCCAGTTTAGTGTTAATGGGGGGGGGGAAAGAAGAATTAAAAGAGATTTGGAGATAATCAATCAACTCACAGCTACTCCTAAACTAGTTTTGAAGCCAAGAACACATCCAATTGGGAGACCAATAATATAGTATGTTGCCAGGTTTACATATGCCACAATTGCTTGCCATCCACTCCCTATTGCCACTCCTGAAATTCCATCATAAACAAGCAATTGAGCGAAAAATCTCATGGTTTCAGTGGTAAAAGGAATTGCAGATGCTGTGATTCGATCACGATTTCAAAAGAATATGTTTTGTTTCACCTGAGAGTATCGGCTGGATGCCGTTTAGGAAAACGGAGATGGCAAGCAGTGGAGTCAAGTCTGAGACTGCTTCAATAACCTCAGAGTCGCTAGTAAATGCTTTGCTCAATGCAACCCGGAATACCAAGACTATTACACTGAAAACTGTACTGATCAATATGCTTGTCCCGTTCACCACAAAAACCGAGAATTTCGCTACCCTTGGATGGCCTGCTCCTAGCTCGTTACTCACTCGAACGCTGCCAGTGCCGAATAGAAAGTTTTATCAAGTGCCCAAAGTAATGAAATTATTTAGTTTTAAGCTTTGGTTGGTTTTGCAAACCTGGCAGCTGCACTGAGGCCTAACATGAACTGCATGTCCCAGTTCAGATAATTCATGCTGAAAATAAATGAACCGAGTTAGGAATTTTACCGAGTTTTCGAAGCAAAAATGTGAGTGAAACATAAGAGGCACTGGTGTACCAGATTGAAATGGAATCCAATGCTATAGTTGGATTAGTAAGGAGCCCTGATATTAGCACTAATCCTTGGCTGTACCAAATCTCCAAACTACATCATTTTAAGAAGAAAAATGAGTTTAAAGTAGCTCTGCAAAACCAATCCGATCCATTGATCGACGAATTTAATTTAAAGTCTAGAACAAAGGAGACACATACCAAAGCATAACAGCAGAAGCAACAGTGAGCTTGAAATAAGGCCACATTCCAGATAAGGCTCGAAGGGATAAGCCGGTCCAAGTGTTCTTACAAGAAGGGCTAAAAATGATAAAAACTCCGTTTATAATGACAAGAAACCACCAAGAGAGGCTCAGAGTAAGAGCTGCTCCGATTAGGCCGTAGTCCAACACAAAGACAACAATCCAAGTGAGAAGAATGTGCACCAGAAATACCCCAACCGCCATATAGGCCAAAGGGTTCACAATGTTCTGTGCCTGTAAGAACCTCTGCATCGGACAACTTACGGCGAACGCATAAATTTGAGGGATCAGACCTCGAGCAAAGACTTGGCCTTTCTGAGCTATGCTCTCGGTTTGGCCCATTGCTTGGAGGACATCGCCAGAGAACCAGTACAGAAATGTTAAAACAACTGCTGCTCCCAAGTGCAATATTATTGCTCTTTGGCAGATGATTCCCATTGCTGAATATTGCTTAGCCCCATAGGCTTGTCCACACACAGTTTGCACTGCACTGGCCATGCCTAACTGTAAGAAGAAGAAAAAAAGTCAAAATAGTTAGTGATAACATATGATACAAGTAAAATAGCTGGGAATTGTTGGAAAATGAAGAATACCATGATCCCATAGGCAAGACCCTGGATACCAACACTGGCAATGGAAGCACCGGCAAGCTCTAGAGCACCCAAATGTCCGGTGAACATTAAGGTAACAAAGCTGAGCATGTAATTGAAAATGGAAACTACTATAGAAGAACCGGATAAAAGCCAAAGAAGCCTGGACTCCCATACCACAAGCCTCTGCCACCATCGAAGTGCGACTGGCCTGTGCTGCAGGAACTCTTCGATCGCGGCAGATGATATATCCGGTATGTGAGAATGCGACTCAAGACCGAGTAGCAATGGTTGATACTCCGGAGCAACTGAACCCATTGTGAGACCACAGCAACTAACTAAAGAATCCAGCAAAGATTATTGTTTTTCTTTTTCCTGAAGTTTGACGCTTTGAAATGTAGTATACAAGTAGAAGTAAAAGCCAATATATTTAAACTAGTTGGTTTGTAGCATTGTAATTAAAGTAGTTAACTACCATTCTTTTTGGATAGATCAAAGAGAAGAGTAGATAAAGCTAACAAATTTGTTAACCGTGTTAGTTTCTGTGGAAGTGCAGGTATGGTCAAATGTTGTCAAGGGATCATTATCTTGTTCGGATTTTGAGGTTTTCGTTGCCATATTAAATGCTGATGAGTTAGGTGGTCCACAATAGCACGTGCACCCAATAATGTACTTTTCTTTTATTTGCCTTGGCGATAAACGTAAAATTTTATACTATGAACGAATTTATAATATTTTCAAAAATTAAATTTATAAAATTTTAAAAAATAAAAAACATATTATTAATAAAAAAATTAAAATTTTAAAGAACGATTATCCGCACCTCAATCCATCACAGCCTCCAACTATTTCCCTAGTCCATGCTGTCACTTTTGGACTTCACGTATGTCCATTAGGGTGCCCACGTCATAGACCATGAATCAATGTTCATGACACGTATTTGTTTTCTAATTTGAAGGAAAATTAATATAATAAATCTGCAATACAAAAGTTCTAGAACCTCCCCAAGATACAGTCAATACATCTAATGCTAATTAGAGATTCAGAAATAGCTGCAAATAAAAAAAAGACTTGGTATAGATGAAATAATAATGTCATAAAAAGTGTAGACGATAACAATACTTCTGATAACATATTACAATTATTATACCTAATAAAACTTGTGCTCTTAAGTAGGTTAATAATGCCAAGTTACAGGGATCTCCTACTATAATTTACACCGAGTAGATTTTCAACACACAAGCTTTAACAGAAAAAAAAAAAGTACAACACTCATTTTCAGCTCCCTGAATTCAGCCTTGAGGAGCATTTCCCTTCAGCATCCAAGAGTCTCATAGATTGAATTCTGTTACCAGAAACTTCTATAACTTCTGTCCGCTCATGTAGTCAACGCGGCGGTTGAGGCTATTGATGGTGGTTAAGCATTAGGCTTGGATCGGAGGGGGCAGGATTCAGACCTTTCCCCATTTGTTGCACTTCACGTGGAGATAGTATCTTGATATACCACACATTGTTCACAAATTCCCTGATTATCACAAAACATTTAAACGAGAAGAATAAGCCACCAAAAAGCCAAGAGTTCACAAATTCCCTGATCATCACAAAACATTAAACAAAATCATCGCTCTCCTACTTGTCTGAAATTTGGTGCAACAATTCTGAAGTAAAGAATGCTCTCCATCACTATCTTAACAGTCTCACTGTCAGACAATTATTCAAAAATAAATGGTGGTTTGGAACTTACTGCCAAGGGTCATCGCCAAGGAGAAGAATATCATTCTCCTTGTCAACAAATACAAGCTGCCAGCCTGATCTCAGAGGGTCCTCTAGTTGGCCTTCGAGACCAAACATTCGAGCGAGCTCACAGCGCAGCTCATTATAGCTGCTGAACTTGGAAATATCCAATGAGCGCCCAAAGGACCCCGACTTGTGAACCTATCAACAAGAAAAAGATCAAAAACCATGAGAATCACACTGGATCAAGAATGTTGAATTATGTCCAGATGTTTATGCTTCTATTGTTAAAGATATTGTTGATAGAATTGAAGCTTTTGAAGGTGTTGTTAGATTGGTTAATAGGACAGCTAACCTAGAGGTAGATGCCCTAGCTAAGGCTGGAATAGGTTGATTTATGTGTTGTTGTTTAGGGATGTTTTTTGGTTTTCTACTTCCTATTAACGGAGTTATATGGTGTTGTAATTCCTATATACTTTTTATGATATTAATGAAATTCTAAAGCACTCTTTTCCTCCTTCCGCTGATTAAGGAGCTTTTACGAGCTCCATTAATCATGAAGGGGGTTTTTAACGAGGCCTACTATTCTTATAAAAAAAAAAGAATCACAAGCCACTAGAGAAACTAGACATAATCCTGTAATTAGCTTTTGAACTAAATAGAAAGTCTCCAATACAATATCATCAATACACAACACTCCATTAATTACATGTTTCAGAGACAAATAAACCAGTTTTACTTTTCAGCCAAAATAGCAGAAGAACAGTAGCTTTATGAGCGACAGCCTCCGAAGTCCGCATGACATGCTTTGCCTAGTCTAATGTGAGCCTCAGAGTGATTTATTCTTCACAACCAGATAAGACAATTCACATATATTTCACATCTAAAAATAATCAGACATTTGCAAAGACTAAGAGAAGTACTATCACCTTAACAAAGGTTCCAGTTGGAGGGTTTACTTGGTCCACATATTCAGAAGACTGCAAGTAACCCGATTCATCCACACAACTTGAGGTAGTCATGTCTGAATTAAGAGGAAAATCTGTGCCAGAAGCACTTGTGAAATTTGAAGCAGCATATGGCAGAGACAATGAATCGTTTTCATTTCCAATATTTTTCAGGTTTGTCATCCCATTCTGCAGCATAAGAGATGAGGAATCAATGCTAACCCCAAACAAAAAATTGTTTTGTGGATCAGCTGAACCGTGGTAAGCAGAATACTCTCTTCCAGGAAATGGAGGTAATAAGTTAGAAAGTATATTTGACTGTGCAGTTCCTAGCTGTTCAACCTGGGGCAGTACATAGTTAGCAGGTTCAGATGAAAGCTGTGGTTCAATAGATGCTGGCTTGGACAACAAAGCAGAAGAAGAGATAATTGGGTTTGATCCATTCAAGTTGAGTAAATGGGAAGCTCCAGCATGGGATAATGAACCTAAGATACTTTGCATTGATGAAACATTAGATGTAGCTAGAGAGTTCCCAAGATGATCAGAAAGTATCTGCCGCTGGCATTGTGAAGCAACAGCTGACAGAGATGAGGACTGGGCCTGGCTGGCTGATACTTTAGGAAAAGTAGGGATCGCATTCGAAATGTGCTGTTGATCAGACATATGTGGTGGTTGAAGTGTTTGTGGGGACTGTTGCTGCTTCTGCTGCTGTTGTCGCTGATCATTATATGAATTGGAACGCTGCAACTGCTGCAGAAGCTGAACCTGAGAAGCAGTCTGATTCTCCTGAAAACCCTGAAGAAAAGCATTTTGTGTTTGAGACTGCTGCAACATCTGCCTCTGAATTAGGGCAGGCGACCCATTGGACGTGCTCTGTGATTGCTGTAATTGCAAGAGAGATTGAGAGCCTATTTTTGATGAATCAACTGTTCTCATTTCCTGAAATGCGGCAGCAGCCATTGCTTGGTAAAGATCAGGTTGGACACCTGGTATTGAAGAAGTATCAAGCCTTGGCTGCATCCAGGGTGATACTCCAAAACCTTGGAAGTTTAAAGACTGAAGTCCTTGATCCCCAACCCCTCCTTGAAGCCACATCAGTTGGGAATTGATGCCCATATCACCATCTTTGAAAGCTGGCAACAAACTAAACTCATTCAGAACAGAAAAGGAAAACCCAAATTTTCAGGTAAAGAGGTCATGTAATTCCAATCAAACTTGGCAAAGATTCCCGCATACCATGGAAAGTGGGTACCGCAGACGGCCATGGTCGCTTCAGACGCAGGGGGAAGGGTGATGAGTACATGGGAAAGGTTGTTAATGGTTCAATCTCCCACAAGGACACTCTTGGTTGCTTCTCTCCTGCAGTGGATTCATCCCAGCCAACCTGGGATGTAAAGTAACTCTTTCATGTCAGATTCTAGTGAACACATTGCCTATTTAAGGGGTAAAAGAAGGGAAGAATATGATATTGAGAACTAAGATCATGCACACAGAAACTTCAAACAAACCTTAACAGAGCGCCAATGCGAATTTGGCCAGCGAACAGGATCAAAGTCACTAATGCCAGTTATTGTACCCATACATCTGATAAAGCACCCAAATTAACATCTGATTAATTTGCCAATGATACTACAATCAATTGACTGATAAAAATAGAAGTATTTACTTGATTTTTTTTATAAAAAAAATAGAAGTAATTACTTGATTTAAAAAAATCAAAGTTTCAGAAGGAAACACCATAAAATTTAAGCAATTCCCAGAAGTAAGAAAACATTTAGAGTAGACTCACCGGCGGACACTTGACTCTTCCGTCTCAAATAGCATTCTAAACTGCATGCCTACAGAAACCCGGGTGTAATAGACTGCTTTAACATACTTGGCAAGAGGGATGACAAACTCTGAAGGACTAGCCCTGTAATCAAGCCACTGTAAATGAGCAAGATCTCATGTTGGAATAGGATCAATATTTTTCAATTACTATTAAGTAGTTGACCTAGGGTTATAAAAGATAGTGAAACGGCTGTTTGTTGCAGCTGCATGAGCTGCTGCAGCAAGAAGGCCAATGTGCATGCTATCACTTGATAAAACAGACGAAGGCATAACAGCCTGAGGACGATTTGCTCTGCGGATACCCAGCAACAATTGATTCTTCTCATTCCTGATAGAAGAAAACGTGTAAAAATAAAGTCAGAGATAATCGATTAGCAAGCTCACAGATTAGTAGCAAAAAGAGAAAAAAGCAGCAAAACTCGAAAACCAGCCCCAAGCTCAACCCAACCTGATTTGACCAAGAGAAGTCATCTGAATGATGCAAACTAAATTGGTTTGACTTCAAAACTAAACAATGTGGATTCCCAAACCCCAGTGATAAACCCAAACCAAAAATTGAACCTAATTTTCCCAATCCAGTGTGATTGAATCCACCCCACCCGCCACCTCTACTACACACAAGGAGGATGCATAACAATAAGTTCATCCCTTTAGAAATGAGAAATAGAATGGAATACTTTATTGTAGAAGATATATGCATATACCCAAAAACAATGCCGTTCATGAAATTGTTGCTGCCAAACTGTCTAAGCAGGATAATTTTACTAGATTGTCTCAAACAGCATCACAGATTTAACATCTATTAGCAGGATACTTCTCCAGCCAATCACAGGAACAAAGGTACTTTGATTACCAACAAAATAATTATAAATAATACGTGGAAGACAGAAAACCCAATTTACCATAAAAAAAGAACAGAGTCACCAGCAACAAGTCTCTTAGCACTGACAAAAACACTCCACCCTGTCGTAAGAAGATGTCTTTTTGGCTGGCCTGCATATGAGAGAATACATAAATTGATAAGAGTTTTTTTACACCCGTTGAAATTCAAAACCCTTGCATCACACAAGAAAGCATATATATCCCTCAAAATATGAAAAACAATTGCCAAAAGCAGTTCCCAGTGTCCTACAGAAAATGCTACATTCCAAGCTTTGAATCTGAAAATATTCCTACAGGAACTAGCAAAATTGTTAATTCTTAATTAACAGGCAAAAAAGTAGCGATGTAATTCCATTTGATAATTACTTTTTCCAGAACCAAGGGGTGCAGGGGATCAATTATTCCATTAACACAACTTTTGTGGACGCTTAGTGGAAGTTGTTAGATAGGACTCTTGGGAGAAGTTGTTAGGTAGGTCTCTAGGAATAAAACAAGTTTTCTTATGTGTGTTAGAACTCTCAAAATAGAATTTGTTTTTAGTAAGACTATATATATGTTGGATCTTTTCGCGAATGAAATGACAATGAACCTCAATGTGTTTCGTACATTCATGAAGGACTAGATTTGAAGCAATGTGAAGTGCAGCTTGATTATCACACCATAGCTTTGCAGGAACTGAAACCTTAATTCTTACTCCATTGAGGAACTGATATACTCATGATTTTACACAAACTTGATCATAGCTTTGTATTCTACTTTCACACTTGATCATGACCACATTTTATTTCTTAATCATACATGAAATCAAGTTTCCTCCAATAAGCGCACAATATCCTAAAGTAGATCTCCTATCTTTCTTATATCATGTCAAATCCGAATCTGAAAAAACATTCAATCCTAGAATGACCAAATCTCTTCAAGGATTGTTGCCTAACCTAATTCAATTGCTGTTGCTGTTGTTTTGATTGAAGTTGAGATTGAATTGAGCTTATTATATCGTCATCTATCCTAATTCAAGCTTGAGGACAAGCTCTTTTACCACGAAGGGGAGTATTGTTGTGGACACTTAGTAGTTGTTTAGTAGGACTCTTAGAATAACAAAAGTTTATGTGATTCTGTTAGGACTCTTAAAATAGAATTTGCTTTTGAGACTTAAGGTAATTTGATATATTTCTATGATTATTGTCAGAAACAATCTTAACTTAAAGGGGCGTATAGAATAATAAACCTTGATAAAACTTTTATGAAAAACCCTACAATGATTCAGGTCTCTCTCTAACGAGTCCTAAGATTTCAATCACCCTATGACACGAGCCTATTCATGTATACTAGTAACGTCACCGCAATTCCATTCCATACAACATTTGATCTTCTCAGATACATCCATATTAGAAATATCCCCAATAACCCATTTAAGTCTTCAAATGTCATTCTAATAGAAATACTACTAGATAAATTGACCATCATTAGCCAATAGTTAAGCTTTCATTAATTGTTTTAAACAAAAACCTTTACAGCTAATTAATCTTGACAATCCCTCATAGTTCCTAAGAGAGGAAAAGGACTTAATCACATCAAAAGCACAACATGAAGCACTTAAAGACGATTGACCTTTCCAAAATTGCCAAAAACAATGGCTATTCCTATCAAACAAACGCATTCACTATATTTAAAGCATATATAAAAAAAAGCACTTGGGTCATTTTCTTTCAAAATTTTCTCACACAAACATGAACCAAAATTTTGAGAAGACCTAGAAAAATTTAAGCATTTGCAAGGTGAAAAACAGCACACACTTGCCAAACAAATAGTTATTCTCATGCAATGAAATTAAAAAACAAATACATCCAACAAAAGAAGGAAACAAAAAGAAAGAATTAACTATAATATCTTATTAAAATTTCCAATTCAATTTTTTTCTTATCCATCATAAATAACTAGTTTCACTTTGTAGGATTTGCATATTAGCTAGGCTTTAAAAAATTATCTAAACCCCAGCACCAAAGGCTCTTAGCCACAATATAATCAGACCAATAACTGATGCAGAATATTGAAAGGATATAAATGAGGTCATCTCGTAACTTTTAGGAACAACTACGCAAAACACCCAAGGGCTAAAGAAATGTTACGGCACCTTCAAAATGAAATCAGCAACTTATTCAAAATGTATATGAACTAAGCAAAACACAACATTAATTGAAGTCTGATGACAAATTAAACAACAAAAAACATGATGATTTGAAACTTCTCTTAGAGATATTGTGGAACATGGCATTGGAAAAAGTTGTTTCAATCACTCACCACGAAATACATGCCTAAATTTCCACTCATTTTCATGAAGATCCCGCGCAATTAGTTCTTGAGCAGGAGGTTGCAGGGTGTAATCCTGAAGGTACAATAATATTTAAAGAGAAAAAGATAACGAGTCAAACTAGTTCAATTAAAACCAGATGTCATTGAACTGAATTGCTTGTAAACCTAAGAAAACATACCAGGGGAGGAAAGACTTTTTCAGCAGCCCGACGAGGAACAGAAAACCCTCCATGAGTGCTTGTGTCACTTGCCGTCAGTGTTTTACAAAAATAATTGGTCGGCTGTTTGCTGGGAGTACCCAATTCACCAGGCAGTAAGTACACATTCTTTTTCTCTTGCTACAACAAAGCTTTCAAGTCAAGAAGGAAAAAATGAAGAGACTAGCAAGCACTAAATCTCCAAACAAGGTCCAAGTTCTCATACCGGACTCAGAGGTTGCAAGGTCATTTGAGCATACACTTCATCTGTTTCAACATCAGCCTGTACTTGAACAAACACTTTAATAAGCAACCAACTAAAAATTCCATAAACAGAGAGTAGTCTAGGCAGTTATTTAACTTACATGCATAGTCAAATTGTGAAGCTGACAGATAAGTTGTGGGGGTAAGCTCGGATAGTTTGGTATATGAGCATCTACTTCCTTGCTGGTTGAAGCAGCAACCTGCAGAGGGAACCATAAACACCAACACACAATGAAATAATAGAAATATACAGTTCCTCATAGAACGCTCTTGCCAGTTAGAAGCTTCAGCTGTTCACTCACCAATTCATGCATTAACAACTAGACTGCAATGAAGAAATTCAGCAAAACTGAAATGGCAGCTTAAAGGAAGTTCTATTACACGTTTCCAAAAAAAGGTTTTGACATGCTCATCATAGCTTCAAATTCCACATTGTCCTTAAAACTCGTGCTAATCGAACTATTTTCTTGAGTAAAAAATGGAGATATATAACCAAATGTGAAAGAAAGTATGAGAAACGAGAAAGGTGTGGCTACCTGTTCACTGTGACCTTGGGGAAAATATACAACACGGCTTCCAACAGGCGGCAGAGACACCAGAGGACCCGCACATGCATGCCACAGCTCAGAATTCAAACATTTTTTCTCCCCTATAAAAAAGGTTTTCACCACTACGTAATTTCGAAAATTTATAACCTAGTGCAACTTTATACTTTAAGGAAAATACTTTAAAAAAAGAGCTAAAAACAGTTACCTTCCTCGGTTTGCTGACTAAACCCTGATGAAGAGAGTCTCATTCTTCAAATCTCAAAACACAAAAAAGGGTTTCTTCTTTCTCAAATAATACCAAAGAGAAAAGGAATGGTTGAAAAGGAAAACACAAACAACCCTTGTTACTGAAGTATATTCGGGAGACGTACAACAGCCATAACTACAAGGAAAAAGAGAACTAACCCACCCCCACCCCCTTTCTCCACCAGACGCTTCTCAACCTAAGTTAAATCAACATCCCAAAAAACAGGGAACAACCCTTTACTCAGAACGGCCTCATGGAGCTCAGATCTTGCTTCTTTTAAACATTTAAAAGCACCCCAAGCCTCCGAAGCTAAACTAAAACCTAGCTTTCTTCTTCACTCAGATCTCCACATTCCAAAGCTTTTCCAAAAGTAAACTAGTATCTAACCCCACCTAAAGTGTCCCTCTGCCCCTTATTACTGGAGCTGCTCAGTTGAGTTCGGGAAGTAGAAAATGACACTTCTTAATTACTTTTGTTTGGAGGTATTTTTAGAGAGAGAGAGCAAGTGAAAGCCTGGACAGCAGCTGGAAGTTAGAAAGAAAATATATAAACGATGCCTACCTTCTTTCTTTATTTAGTACATAGTGCAAAATCAATTTTCTTTTTTTTTTTCACTTAATTGTTTTATTAAAAGTAGGCTTCATACAAATAAGTGTTTTAATTATGTTTCAAAAATTAAAAATAGATATTTAATGTTTTTTTATTATATTTTTAAATGTCACGATGGTTAAATTTTGACTATTATTTGACACGTATTATTCTCGTATTTTTTTTTAAATTTTTTAAAAAAATACAAAATATATTATTAATTTAAAAATTTTAAATTTTTTTGAAATGTCAAAAAAAATCCTTGAAACTCTAAAATATTTATTTCAAATCCCTAAAATTCTAAAATCTTTCATTTCATCTCTCAACCAGCAATCACTGACCGCCTTCGAAATCATCAAATGGGTATTGTCGCCAGACTTTCATTATCAATCATCCCTCTTATCATCGTTCGAATCTCCCTAAATTTATAAATCTCTAAACTTAAAATCTTAAATCTAAAATTAATGGGCGAGGAATTTAACTTATATTTAATCCTAATGGTTTAGACTAGGGAAGGGAGACTGGCGGCGACAATGACCATAGGTGACCTTATTCGTCGGTTGTGTCATTTTTTTCCACCATTTTAACAGATTATGAAGCTGTTGCGGGGGAGCTGCTGTAGGGGCTGCGGGGGAGCTGTTGTAGGGGAGGCAGGAGAGAAGGGGGACGAGGTGGGAGGTGGGAGGTGGGAGGTGGGAGGTGAGGGTGAGGGTGAGGTGAGATCCACTTTTTTCCTAAAAATGATATTTTTAATATTTTTTTTAAAGAATAATATTTTATTATTACAAAATATAAAATATAATGGTAGACACTTAAAAGTATAATTGAGAAAACGCTCAACACATGTTTTTAGTAAATATTTCTTTAGGTACTAAAACATTTTTCAAAACATAGTTTAGACAGTTATTTTTGTATTAAGCATTAAAATTATAATGATATTTTTTTATCTTAATCATTATTTATTAAAATATTAACAATTATATCTATGTACATTTTTTTTTTGTTTTTAACTTTTACATAAATGTTAATTCTTCAAATATAAATAATTCAGTGTTGCTTTTTAAATTTAAGATCTAAAACAAAATTTATAAATATCACTTTATCTTAAAATATATTTATCGTTTTAAAACTATAATTAATAATTTTAAAAATTATTATTATTCTAGTGATAGATTAATTTTACTTAGAATTTATTTAATAAATAACAATAGATTAGAACTGATAATATAACTATTCATAATTCTATAATAGGGAGGGGTTTGACATAGGATTGTAAATATAAACAAATCGTGAACTACTCGAGTTTGACTCGATTAACACTCGAATGGAATGGACTAGACTCGAGTTCAAACTCAAATCGAGCTCTTAACAATCTGAAACAAGTTACTTAATATCTGACTAAGAAATCTCGCGAACAACACGAAAATAAAATAAATTTTTAATTTTTAAATTAAATTATTAATAACATTATCATTTATGTGTTTTTTAAATGCAATATAAGATTTTCATGTTCTTAAAGTTTATATAATTATACTCGAGTTTGAGTTCGAGCTTGAACTGAGCTAAGTCAGAGAATGCTTAAATTTATTTTTTTCATTCAAAAAAATAATTTTTTTGAGCTCGAGTCGTGCTTCAATTTTTTATTTGGAGTTTGAATCAAACATAACAATTTTAAACTCGTGAACTTTCGAATCAAGTCGAGCTCATATTTAAACTTTTCGAATTAAGCTCGCCAATACTCAAACTTATATTTTTCTTTTTATATGATTAATAAATTTGAAAAAATTGTAACTTAAGTGTAAAATGTTCCTCTATTTTAAGTAAATTATAGTTTATCTCTCATGTTAATATTATGATTTCATCTTTAGTGATAATCAAAGACTTCTACGATAAAAGTTTAAATATTTAATATTTTATGCATGTTTTTAAATTTTAATAATTTATAACATAATTATATAATTGATATTTTTAATTTATTTTTTAAAATTTAAAAGCTTTTTATTTTTAAATTTTCTAATATTTTAATGGCTTTAAATTTTAAATAGTTTAGAATTTAAATAGCCTTTTATTTTTATTTTTTTATTTTTTAAAGGTTAAATAAACTCTCGAATTATACAAAATATCGATTATTTTTTAATTATTTTAAATATCCATTAAGTCTATATACAATATGATTATTTGTACGTGGACAACCACATCAATATCATGTACTATAATATTAGCATCTTGAACCATTGGCGAAGCCATAGCTGGTGCCACATTGAAATCTGAATTTTATTTAGTTAATTATTTATTTTATTTATAGTGTTGATTCTAAAATTTTATTTGTATTCACCACTTTCAAAAAATTTACGTTGTTAACATATATGTGTCAACTTTAATATTTTTTGAATTTGTCATTGTCGTGAACTAACATGATCTATTATATTAATATCATAACGATCAATAATGATTTTTATTGGTCAAAAGATTATATTAATTATTATAATATATTTAATGACTTAATTGAGTGAAAAAATATTCAGAGATTTAATTTTTCTCTCTCGAAAATATAGACAATCTCTTAACACTTTAAGTCTTATTATCTTAGACAAAAAATCATTTTCATATAAAATTGATTAACTTAATTTAATATTTTAAAAAATTAAAATATTATATACTTGTATATTTTTATATAGCATGAACTCCGATGATTTCGATAGTAAAGAAATTATTTTTATTCTGTATGGTCTCGGATTTGAACACTAAGAATGTTACAGGTATAAGTTTAAACAAATATTGTCTTGTACTTACTCCATATTAATCAAAAAAATTATCTTCATATAAAATAAAAATATTAAATAATAAAAATAAACATATAAATGGAACAAACTAATTTATCTAAAACAGTGATAATTGTCCACAATTTTCGACTTCGTAGAGTAAAAAATGGTCATTGTGAATTTGTGTTGACCTTCTTTTTAATAAAAAAAATAGATTTTTTATAGAAAGGTAAAGTACAACAAATACAATACAATTCAACATGGAAATTTAAAGATTGTAAAGAAAATAAAATCAAACATTCTCTTGAGTACATGTTTCATATTACAAAAATCTAACACCTACTAGTAATCTCCGTGTTACAGTTCAAAACAAAACGCAATATTAATATATGCATGGAGATTGAAAGAACGAATTTGTCAGAATGTTTTATAAACGATTTTGAATACATGGACAATTTGTCACAAAAGGTGATCTAAATATAAAAGATCGTTGATCTTTCCTGATCAAAAGATACTTCGTGATGAATATAACATGAAAAGTCAAACTATCATAACGATAGATAAAATCGTGTCATAAAAGCATAAGAACAATGCGTCATAAAAGTAAACAAAAACAAAACGCTTCAAAAATATACAAAAAGAAAATAAATCAAAATAGGAAAGATGTTTATTTAGACATAAATAATAAGAAAATTAAACAAAAGGAAAATAAGAAAAAAAGACGAAGATAAACTTTATCAAATATCATTTTTATATTATTAAAATATAAAAGTATATTTTAGTTATTTACATTATTGATTTATTATAATTAAAGAAATCAAAACATGAAGTATGGTCAGAAGAGAACAAAAGCAACGCCGGTCCTAGACTCTAAATTTCTCCCTCAGCCAAAAACCTAAAGACCAGGTAAGTCCCAATATCACCTAATGTGAGTTTTAGCGGTTAGACAAAGAAAATGGGCTCAACCCCATTGAAGCTAAATTGGACTGGGACCCTTTTCTGTGCCCAACATGCAACAACCCAAACATGCGAACCTATAAAGTCATAGTTAATGACGTGACACGTTAATTTTATATCATAATATCACATTAACCGGACACGATTCTATTATACATTGTAAAACTCTTTTAGTTTTATATAGATTTAACTTGGATGAGTGAACTTATATGATTGAGATTAACAGTAAGAAATGAGAAGATATTCGTTGGTTATAATAATGAGTTAATCTCAACCATCTATTTTAATTTATCTAATTATCCTAAATCTGTGTAAAATTAAAAGAATTTTACATTGTGTAAGTAGATCCTAACCCCATTTTAATATATATATATATGGGGTCACAATGTAGTAATATAATAGAGTGTCACATAGTAAAAAAAAGTTAAAAATTCAAGTTGAATGACTAAATTGAGAAATATTGACAAGTTTTTGGACTAGTTTGAAGAAAAAAAGTCTAGTGCCAAAACGGACCATGTTGCTAAGCTTAGGATCAAAAAGTTATATTATCCCTTTATAAGCCGAAAAGGTCAAATTTTATTAGTTTCTATAATATACATGAGTGTAGATTTAGACACTATGATTTATTTTCTTCAATTTTGGGTCTCGTATATTTTGGAATTAGAATTTTTTGGAGTTTTACTTGTATAATAATTGTATTTTCATATTCAAGTAAACGTATTTTATCTCATGGTAGGTTAATGAACACAATCATCTATCACAAAAGTAGCACATCTTGATTTTGAAGCAATCTACTTGGGATTGCAATCTTATCCTTTTCCTATTAAACCATTTACACTCCCTCCTATATTATCCAAACTTTATTTTAATCATTATCTTTTCAAAATAAAAATATTAGATTACACTACACCCACCAAGTGGGTCTTATTGCATTTGCACATCTATCATGTGAATGACAAAATATATAACTATGCATATAATATTTTTATAATAATTGGAAGCTCTTTTCCACGAGTATGTAATTTTTCTATTAGAGTTCTTTATTCCTGCACTTTATAAAACAGAAATATGAGCTTCATTTATAAAATAACTGCCTATCTATTTGATAAAATATTATATATTAACCATTGTACGAGTGTTCATCCCACTGGTGTAGTGGATGACGCATTGCACCTTTTTCATGTCCAAAAGATACATACATCA